AGGATATTTAAGTGGCGAAGGAGAGAGAAAAGTAGGTTAAAAACCCTTTTTATACCTTTATATTGACAATTACAAATGGTATGGAAAGAAATTTATATTAATCTATTTTGACACTAATAGGCAACCTTAAGCTGAAATCTAAGTGTCAAAAGGAGAATAAAGATTTTTTCTTGGTCATTTTAAAGCCCTAAAAAGAGTGGAGGCAAAAGGGTGGGACTTGGAATAATGGAAAAATGGAGTGCCACCTGGAAAAATAAAGAGGATTAACAGTGAAACTTTGAAAAGACTCCCAAGGATACATTGTAACTGAAATCTTATTAAAAGATACAGTAACCCACAGAAAGGAAAAGGAAAGGAAAGAAACAAGAAGGAACAGTCTGGGATTATTTGGTGATTTTTTTAAAAAATGGCATTGGTTTTTTCTTTCTTTTTCTGTTTCTTACTTAAAGTCAATCGGGTGGTTGTTCAAAAGTGTTTAAAATGCCATCAATCCTGGAGGAATTGAAGATGAATCTTAAAAAACAGAAAGAAGATGCAGAAAGGGGAGGAAGATACTTTGACTTCGTATTTGAATTTTTTGAAATGGAGATCCTGAACTATGTAAAGCAAAAGGAAAAGCTTCAAGAGCAAGAAGAAGGGTGGGACAAAGAAGAAGCCATTTTCAATGATCAAATAATGCAAAGTGTGGTAATAAGGAGAAAAGGGGAGGAAAGGAGTTAAAGTTTGAGATCAAAGGGAACAGCCAAAAAGAAAAATAGTCTGAAAAAGAAGTATAACAGCAAGGAGAAGCAGAAAAAAAAACTGCAGAAGGGAAAATTAGAGAGAGAAGGGTATAAAAAAAAGGGATGAGAAAAAGGGGGGAAAGATAGAAAGGGAAAGAACTTATGAGGGACAAAAACAGGAAATAAAGAAAACGGGGAAATGTACTAGGATTAAAGGTATTTGCTCAGCTAGAAAACACAGAGACAATGGTTAAATTAAGTTAAGTGTGAGGATTCTGCAAAGGTACAAGAGATAGTGTTGTGACAGTAGAATATTGTAACGAGTTAGAAATGAAGTAAGTAAATAATCTATGAGATAAAACTGTATTGTTACGTAATGGTATGTTTATTTATGTTTATATAAATGAATTTGAATGATTTAAATGAATGAATTTGAATAATTATTTTGCTTATTAATAGTAAATAATTTATAAAATAAAACTGAATGACTATTCAATGGTATGCTTATTAACAGTTAAGTAATGATGAAGAAGGGAGGGAAACATTTCAATTGTTCCCAAAGATTGATAGATATTGAAAAGATATTGAAGAAGAACAAGTTAAAGAAACTATGATTGCTTGGGGGAAGAACTTTGGATATGGGGTTGATCTAGAGAAATGGCAAAAATTGTGGTGTCAAAATTATAAAATGACAATGTCAACAGCATATAAAGAAAATTTGTATAAGATGTTTTACAGGTGGCATTTCCCCCCGACAAGAATAGCAAGAATGTTCAAGAATAAATCCTAAAAATGTTGGAAATGTCATCAGACACCTGGCTCATATTACCATATGTGGTGGACTTGTGCGGATGCTAAAAAATACTGGACTAAAATCCATACGCAGTTGGAAAAAAATGACAAAAAAACATATAGATTTGAAACCAGAGATATTCTTATTGGGAATTTTACCTGAAATATATAGTAAAGACTTGAAATACCTAATTGTAAATGTATTAACAGTGGCTAGGGTTGTATTTGCTAAAAACTGGAAAAATGAGAAAACACCATCACAGGAGAAATTATTAAGAAAATATTGGAATGTGCTGAAATGAGCAGATTGACATTTGAAATTAGAGAACAGGATGATAAACAATTTTATAAAGTTTGGAATCTATTCTATCAATGGTTAGACAATAAAGTATAGTAATGAAATATGTAGACTTTTAGAAAATACTAAATATATAAAGATGTATTTTTTCCTTATTATATCTACAAAATGATTTTAGGATTGATTTTGGATGATAATATGAATTGTCATAAAACAAATTAAGTAAAATATGATTATTTCCTAAAGCATGAATGAATAAAAGTATAGTGAAATGATTTATTAATAATAATACCAATGTATTTAATATTGGATTGAAAATACAAGATCATATACAATGTAATTGTAATTGAAGACTACGAAATGGAAGCACAAAACAATTTGTAAACCAACCGGCACACTGTATGTACATATATGGAAGATGGCCTGATGATTTTATGTTTTGTTTATGTTTATTTATGTTTGTTTGAAAAACCAATAAAAAAATTTTTTTTAAAAGAAAAGAAACATAAAACATTTACAAAGTTCATACCAGTACTAGAATGACTTTGAATAACTATTTTGTTTATTAATGTTTATGTGTGTATATATTTATATATATATATATATATATATATATATATATATATATATATATATTGTTTTTGCTATGTTTTTAGAATTTTTCTTTTTACATTTTCAAGGGGAAGTACCAAGCAGAGTTTGAATGATGAGATCTACATGATATAAAATAGATATTAGGAATTTGAATGTTATAATTTTTGAATGCACAAATTCAATGTTTAATGAGATTTCATATGAAAATAATAAGATTTAAAGGTGTTGCACTTTGATTGGCAATCATAGGGAGAATTTTGCTTCTTAAGAATGTTAGAAGAGAACATATGAAATTGTAAACAAGACAGTCGAAAGTATAAGTACAATGAATAAAAAGATATAGAAATTTAGATAAAAGAAATACAACTGAATAAGAAGAAAGTGAGATAACCATAAAAGAAAATTAAGAGAAGTAAAGGGAGAAATAGTGAGAAGTTTGAAAAAGAGTAATAAGATATGAAGTTGAATACATAAGATGAATATGTATATGAAATTGTGTCTGTGTGGAAATGTGATAATCCGGAACCATGCTGTACTCAAATAAGATGTTTTATTTGTTTTGTTAAAACTCAATAAAACTTTATTAAAAAAAAACATTCTAAACAGTTTGGATAACCAGTTGTTAGAAGAAATTACCGGCCTAATCCTGTAAGAAAGGCAGGAAGGAAACATTCATTCTAGACTTCCTGTCTAGTCCTGCCAAATGTTCCTTTATTCAGAACATGTCTGTCCCCAGCAACCTAAAACTAATAAGGATACCAATGCATCCAAAATAGATGTTTGTGCAGGTAAGATTATCAACCTTGATGCCAACCAAAAACAAGCATTTAATAGTGAGTGCCATACCAAGTGCATTAATCAAACAGATGGCAAGAAAGTAGGAGCAGGCAGGCACAACACGGGTTATGGAGACAGTAAACACAGTTTCAGACATAAAGATCTCAAGTGCCTATATACAAATGCATAAAGTCTGGGGAACAAACAGGGTGAAGTTGAACTACGAATACATGAAGGTAAATATGATATAGTTGGAATAACAGAAACTTGGTGGGGTGAAACCCAAGACTGGAACATACTGGTAGAAGGATCCAAACTATTCAAAAAAACCAGACCCCATAAAAGAGGAGGTGGAGCTGCACTGCATGTAAAGGACCGCTATATTGCTACAGAAATGCATGAAACCAAAGATGAAAACCACCTAGAATGCATATGGGTCAATATAAAAGAAAAAAAGAATGACATTGCCATAGGTATATATTATAGGCTACCCAATAAAGCAGAAAATATAGATGTCCTTTTTGCCAACTGACTAACAAACATATGCAGGAAACATACAACAATAGTAATGGGAGACTTCAATTATCCTGATATCAATTGGAAAACTAATTCTGCACCAAGTGAGAAATCAAATAAGTTCCTAAACAACCTTGCTGACAATTTTGTTGTCCAAAAGGTAGAGGGTGCAACTAAAGGGACAGCCATACTGGACTTAATTCTTACAAACAGAGAAGAAGTGATAGAGGGAGTTGAAACTGCAGGAACCTTGGATGAGAGTGACCATGTCATACTACAATTCAACATAACACAAACACAAGCAACAGAACATAATGACACCAGAGTCTTGGATTTTAAAAGAGCTGATTTCAATAAACTCAGAGAGAACTTGGGAAATATTCCATGGATGAAAATCCTAAAGGGGAAAACAACTCAAGAATCTTGGGAAACTAAAAAGTATGATCATAGAAGCCCAGACCAGCACAATACCACTGAGAAAGAAAAACAAGAAATCCAAGAAGAAACTAGCATGGCTGCAAAAAGATCTCTCTGGCAAATTGAAAGAAAAAAAGGACAAGTACAAAAAATGGAAAGAAGAACATATAACTAAGGCAGAATATCAGTAGATAGCCAGAATATGCAAAGACAAAGTCAGGATAGCAAAGGCTCAAAATGAACAAAGACTTGCAACAAAAGTCAAAGATAATAAACATAAATAATAATAACATAATAACATATAAATAACAAGAAAAAATCAAGGAAACAGTCGGTCCACTAAAGAGAGAAGATGGCAAGGAAGTAACAGGCAACAGAAAGAAAGCAGAACTGCTTAACTCATTCTTTGCATCCATCTTCATGCAAAAAGAAACTATAGCTCAACCCACCAAAAACATAACTATAAAAGACAGACCAGAAATAAAAGTTAAAATAAGCAAAAAAATACTAAGAGAACACCTGTCTGATCTTGATGAAAACAAATCCCTGAGGCCTGATGGATTACATCTCAGATGCTGGAGCACCAGGGAACTACCAGAGGACTGGAAAAGAGCTGATGTGCTTCCCATCTTAAAAAAAAAAAAAAGACCCAAGAAACTATAGATCAATCAGCCTAACTTCAATACCTGGGAAGAAACTGGAAAAGATAATAAAAATACAGATCTGCCAACATCTAGAAACAAGTAAAGCAATAACTAGCAGTTAGTATGGGTTTGTTAAGAACAGATCATGACAAACCAATCTTATTTCATTCTTCAACACAGTGACTAAATTAGTAGACCAGCAAAATACTGTGGACATAATATATTTAGATTTCAGCAAAGCATTCAACAAAGTAGACCAGAGTAGATCCTTCTTAGTAAGCTAGAAAAAAGTGGAATCGATAGCACCAGCACTAGATGCACTCGCAACTGGCTGGCAAACCATACTCAACGAGTAGTCCTAAATGGATGTAAATCTACATGGAGGGAAGTAAGCAGTGGGGTGCCACAAGGTTCCGTCTTAGGCCCAGTACTCTTCAATACCTTCATTAATGACTTAGATGAGGGAATAGAAGGGAAACTTACCAAATTTGCAGATGATACTAAGCTGGCAGGAATAGCTAACGCCCAAGAAGATAGGCTCAAGATCCAGATGGATCTTGACAGACTAGAACACTGGGCCGTATCTAACAAAATGAAACTCAATGTTGAGACTCTAGAAAAAGGACAGAGAAGAACAATGATTAGGGGACTGGAGATTAAAACATACAATGAACAATTGCAGGAACTGGGCTTGGCTAGTCTAGTAAAGAGGAGGACGAGGGGAAACATGATAGCGGTCTTCCAATATTTGAGGGCTGCCACAGGGAGGAAGGGGTCAAGCTATTTTCCAAAGCGTCTGTAGGCCAGGCAAGGAATAATGGATGGAAACGGAACAAGGAGAGATTTAACCTGGAAACAAGGAGAAACTTTCTGACAGTGAGAACAATCAACCAATGGAACACCTTGCCCTTGGAAGTTGTGGGAGCGCCATCACTTGAGACTTTCAAGAAGAGCTTGGACTGCCATTTGTCAGAAATGGTGTAGGGTCTCCTGTTTGGGCGGAGGGTTGGACTAGATGACCTACAATGTCCTTTCTAACTCTGATTATCTGTTATCTGTCTCAGGAACTTCTCTGGAGTTTTTTTCCCTTCCTTTGCTGGTACTTTGCTTGCGTGGAGTGACCATTCAAAGTTACAATGGCACTGAAAAAAGTTACTTATGACCATTTTTCACACTTACGACTGTTGCAGTGTCTCAATGTGAGTGATATTGAGTTGGCCACACCCAGTCAATAACATGACCACCAAGCCACGCCCACCACCTAACCACGCCCACAGAACTTCTGGATGTTAAAAATTTTGAATCCCACCTTTGATAGCATCTGTCACCTACTACAATTGGCATTACACATTTTTTTCCTCGTTCTAGACTTTTTAAAGGACTATGAGGACTATGAAGCAAGCAAACAGATCATTTCTACTTTGTACCATTTCCATCTCATTATAAGAATTTATTCCTATGCTTTATATCACTTCTTTATTATTCCTTCCAAATGTTGTCAAGCTGTAAATCTCCTGATCAGTCAAGAAAAACCATAGGACATATAACTGAGACCTAATTATTTCCTCAGCATAGCTGATATGTATAGTCTTAAAATAAAAATATTCTTTCCTCTTTTCATATCCTTCTGCAGTGTATGGCCTTTTCATTTAAGTTGAGGGATTTTAAATAGTTAAGACATACTCTGTGCATGAAATCATTTTTCCCTCAATGTAATTGTACTGTAATGACAATATGCATGGCCTAACAGGCCAAGGCATGGCTGGCTCCTTGCCACAGCTGAGCCTTTGAGCAAAGACTTTAATTCTGTCATGCCTCATCTGGTTTTATATACTCTTTTGTAATTGATTCACAAATTTATCTCATGGATGCAATTGAGATGGTCAAGATCACTGACATCTCTGTGAAGACATCATTCCCTCTAATGAAGGATGCCTAATTTTTGCAGTGAGAACTTGCATGAGAAATTGTTACTCAAAAAAAAGTCTAAGCAAATGTTCTTGGGTCATTAATTCATTGACAGATGGATCTTAGAAGACTTGCCCATGTGGTTAAATAATATATTCTGCCTGCTGACTGAATCATGTGTAGTTATGCATGGGCAAATCCCAAGATACCTGTGCAGAGAACAGCACAGAGAATTGCAACTGTTCAAAGGGTTTGAGCTGCAGAATTCTCTATTTTCAATTTATTCAATTCAAATAATGTACTACTGGTTACTACCAAAGCAAAAATGTGTGTCTATTTAAAAAGTATCTTTTACTCATTTCCTAAATAGTTCTAGATGTCTTAAAATATACTGGGCAACAGGTACTGTTAGCATAAAATTTAGGGTTTTGTGCGTGCCTAGTTGCATTTCACAAGATTTGACCCATTTGTACTTGCAGATTAGAATATATATTGTGGGTCAATGTAAGGGTTAGGGTTTTTTTGTGGATTGTATTGTTTGCTTGAATATATTAGAATCAGTAGTCTAGCAATGATTTATTCACTTATAGAGTTTATAAACTTTATTATTTGTACACTATCTAAAATAATTTCTCAGCAATGTTTGAACCTGTCTGATCTTGATGAAAACAAATCACCGGGGCCTGATGGAGTACATCCCAGAGTTTTAAAGGAGCTGGCAGAGGTCATCTCAGAACCACTGCACCATATCTTTCAAAAATGCTGGAGCACCGGGGAACTACCAGAGGACTGGAAAAGAGCTGATGTGCTTCCCATCTTCAAAAAAGGGAAAAAAAACAGACCCAGGAAACTATAGACCAATCAGCCTAACATCAATACCTAGGAAGAAACTGGAAAAGACAATAAAAAAACAAATCTGCCAACATCTAGAAACAAGTAAAATAATAACTAGCACTCAGCATGGGTTTGTTAAAAACAGATCATGCCAAAACAATCTTATTTCATTCTTCAACATAGTGACTTAATTAGTAAACCAGCAAAATACTGTGGACATAATATACTGTATTTAGATTTCAGCAAGGCATTCGTCAAAGTAGACCACAACCTCCTTCTTAGCAAGCTAAAAAAAAGTGGAATAGATAGCTCCACCACTAGATGGACTTGCAAATGGCTGACAAACCATACTCAACGAATAGTCCTTAATGGGTCTAAGTCTACATGGAGGGAAGTAAGCAGTGGGGTGCCACAAGGTTCCGTCTTAGGCCCAGTACTCTTCAATATCTTCATTAATGACTTAGGTGAGGGAATAGAAGGGGAACTTACCAAATTTGCAGATGATACTAAGATGGCAGAAATAACTAACACTCAAGAAGATAGTCTCAAGATCCAGATGGATCTTGACAGACTAGAGCACTGGGCCATATCTAACAAAATGAAATTCAATGTAGAGAAAAGTAAAGTCCTACACTTAGGCAAGAAAAACCAAAAGTACACATATAGACTGGGTGAAACCAGGCTCACTAGCAGTAACTGTGAGAGGGATCTTGGAGTCTTAGTGGACCACCAGCTAATATGATCCAGCAGTGTGCACCAGCAGCCAAAAAAGCTAATGCAATCCTAAGTTTTATTAACAGAGGGATACAATCAAGATCAAGGGAGGTACTAATACCACTCTATAAAGCCTTAGTAAGACCACACCTAGAATACTGCCACATTATAAAAAAGATGTTGAGACTCTAGAAAAAGGACAGAGAAGAGCAACCAGGATGATTAGGGGACTGGAGACTAAAACATACAATGAATGGTTGCAGGAACTGGGCTTGGCTAGTCTAGTAAAGAGAAGAACCAGGGGAGACATGATAGCAGTCTTCCAATATTTGAGAGGCTGCAACAGAGAGAAAGGGGTTAATCTGTTTTCTAAAGCATCTGTAGGCCAGGCAAGGAATAATGGATGGAAACTGAACAAGGAGAGATTTAACCTGGAAATAAGGAGACGCTTTTTGACAGTGAGAACAATCAACCAATGGAACACCTTGCCCTTGGAAGTTGTGGATGCACCATCACTTGAGACTTTCAAGAAGAGATTGGGCTGCTATTTGTCAGAAATGGTGTACGGTCTCCTGCTTGGGTGGAGGGTTGGACTAGATGACCTACAAGTTTCCTTCCAACTCTGATTATCTGTTATCTGAGATGGCTGCCAAAATAAAATCTGCATTTCATAATATGTCACAAGATAGTTGGATGTGCACAATTTTTATCAATCAAGCAACAATAGATGGAAATTAATCAAGGAGAGAAACAAGCTAGAACTAAGGAGAAACTTCCTGACAGTAAGAACAATCAACAATGGAACAACTTGCCTTCAGAAGTTATGGGTGTTCCATCATTGGAAGCTTTTAAGAACAGACTGAATAGCCACTTGTCTTGAATGGTATAGGATCTCCTGTTTGAGCAGAGGGTTAGACAAATCCCCAATTTTCATTATACATTTGTTCATTATTTGACCTTTTCTTTTCTATTTCCTTATAATGTAGAACAGTGGTTCTCAACCTGTGGGTCAGGACCCCTTTGGGGGTCAAACGACCCTTTCACAGGGGTTGCCTAAGACCACCGGAAAACACATATTTTCGATGGTCTTAGGAACCGAGCCATAATTTTATGGTTGGGGATCACCACAACATGGGGAACTGTATTAAAGGGTCGTGGCATTAGGAAGGTTGAGAACCATTGGTGTAGAGGGTTCTACATTTAAAAGACTATCCACAGTTGCCTTGAAGATATTCTGTTAATGTTCTAGAAACAAAAACCTTTGGTAATAGCCTCTCCAAACTGGAAGCCATCTGCAGCTTCAAATGTTCGAAAAAGCATGGTATTTTATCTTGTTCTACTTGCAACCTCATTTGTGTTTCATATTTCAGCTAGTATTATTTGCTGATTGCTTTTATAAGTATTTCACACTAATACTTCATATTACACTTCACTTCACTCCATGTTCCAGTTTCCCAGGTTGTTGTTCTCCCATGAAACAGGTTTCTTCTAGTCCACTTTATTCTCATGTTGCTTTAAAATTTCCTTTTGTTTTCTTTTGAATGTGTGTGTGTTTACTTTATGATAGAAGGTCATGGGATTGTTACTAGCACTGTTTGCTTTCACACATCTCTTCATTTCACTGCAAAAGGACTATGGCAGTACAATGCAATACTACCGATGTTAGTACTGTATTGAAAAAAATATGACTGCAAACTTCGGATATATGAATGCTGAAAGACATATACTTATCACCAGCTAAAATGCAAAAACCCAGCCTCACTGGAGGCTTTCAAGAGACTGGATAGTCACTTATCAGAAATGGTATAGGGTCTTCTGCTTGGTCAGAGAGTGGGACTATATGGTGTACAAAGTCCCTTCCAATTCTTTTGTTCCAAACTTCAGAAGAGATATTTGTGCATTTGTCTTTTCATTTTAAAAAATAATCAAACATCACTGTCTGATTTTCGGTATAGCATTACTTCATCTCTCAATCAAGGTTGGTAATTTCTATAAATTGAAACCCATGGTCAGAAAACTCTGTATTCTGTTCATTGAACCCTATTCTAGCATTTGGAAATTATGTTGGAACCAATCAAAGTGTTCACATTGAATATTTTATTTAAATAATGTGTTTATATTTGCATCCCTGAATCAATTTCAATTTTTATTATATAGATTCCAATTAATTTATAAGCTTTTCATCATAATGAAATTTGAAAATATTTGGCGAATGTTTTAATTTAAAAAAAAAAAAATAGCATTGTGAATTTATGATTCTAATAAAGTGCCTTGTGCATAGGAAGAAATAAGCCTGGAGGTAAATCTTGTAACTCTCCAGATTTTAAGGGCAGATGACAAATTGTATAAATATGTGTAAATTGTCCAAATACAGTTATATAGTATTATAGAGTAAAAAAATAAATAACCGACCCAGCATTCTTTAATGCAAGTTTAATCATTGTTCTGGCTTTGAATAAAATTAGGACAATTATGTTCAATTTTATTAAGTTTATCACTCAAATACCTCTGACTTAGTATATAGTCTTGCTCAATGAGTTTTAAATAGCAAATTTGTCAGTGTATTAAAGTTCATATTAAAATCAATACTTTAAATAGCTTAGGAGACCAGTCTCTTGCAAAATTATCTGGCTGGAAGAATGAAAAACATCCCCCAGATGTGTGTTGGTCTGTTACTGATTTTTCATTTGCATTATAGAGATTCATGGCCAATTCTGGGGTCAAGTTCCTCCAATTATTTATCTGCAAATTATTTCTTCTTACACATTTTGATTTATACTGTATAAGATCTGTGTCTCCACAGGTCATTTCTCTTTCTTACTTCCACTGATTCCCTTCTTTTTCCCTGTTCCTTCTTTTTCCCCTTCTGTCAGGTTGTGAGAAGGAAAAATCAACATATCGTTGTGAATAAGAAATAATTCCTTTTGATTTTGCCAGGCAGATTCTTGTCTCCCTGTGACAGTGTGAAGGCAAATGTTTCCTCTTACTAACTACCATACTTTTCAAGAGGAGATGAACTTGGGAGCAGTTGAAATGCTTCCATGCCTTGATAATCGGGAGCTGTTCTTAAGCAGTTGGCAAAAGTTTTGCCAGTTATACATTTTTTCACTCCAAGATGAAAATCAGGGCACTTCATTTGTTGAAATAAAGAAGATGATGCTTTGGCCAGAAAATTCTAGAAAGTTTTAAAATTGTTCCAAATTCATCCTTTAACAATTTAATAAAAAATAGAACTGGATAGAAGTTATTGCTTTATATTTGCTTATTGTTGCAAATTTTATGGATCTCTATACATTCACTATACTTGCTATGACATAGCTTACAAGTCACCTTTAGTTCAGGGGGGAAATGTATCAGTAACCCATTACCATGTGCAGTATATTTGCACATTTGTCTTCCCTATACCTATACTGCAGCAAGCTTATTTTCTGGACAATTTTTGAAAACAATTAGAGAATCTGAGGTAGGCATTTAAATAGTTATCCTGAATCCATGTGAATAAATGGTTCCTAATCAGTTTTGGTGCTTAAGATTCAATGGGATAAAGAACAGATGGGACTTATTAACAAATATTGCAAACTAGAAGGAGTTTATTATAAGCAGAATCAAAAACGTTCTATTAAAATGTTTAGTCATTTAAAAAAAAGAATAATACTTAGGTTAAAATATCACAATAAAGATATAGGGTTTAAAGAGTAATCATGCATCAGACAATTTGATCCTGTATCAAGTTTCCTCTGCTGAGCAGGCTATTATCTAAACATGTGTCAGCTGCTAATGTTAAAAGTTTTTGTAATTTTAGTTCTAAGAGCATATTAAATACACCATGAATCTGCTCATCCTAATGAGTTTTACCCTGTGCCCTGCAAATGCACAGCTGGAGGTTGTACACCTCCTTAATAGATGATACTGTGTGTGTACAATTAACACATTAATTTATGAAGTAAAATGATCAGGAGAGACTAAGGCTTCAAAGGCAAATACTTGCTATGAAGCACAAGTTCAGTTTCTGTGTCTGATAGTTGCCTGTCCCACCCAGAGGTTCTGTATCATGGAGGGAGCCAAATGGAGCCAAATGGTGAGTTTATAGCAGCTGTTAATCTTCTTTATATCATTATTCAGCATGAATATAGGGTGTTTGTATGTTTATGTCAACATATTGTCCCCAATAACCTGGGTCTTAATTTTACCAAACCTGGAAGGATGGAAGGCTGAGTCAACCTTGAGCCAGTCAGGATCAAACTCCTGACTATGGGCAGAGTTAGTCTGCAATACTGAATTCTAACTACTGCGCTTCCCATGACTCCTAACAAATTGCTGTAGCAGAATGGGAAGAAGTGAGAAGGAAGGATGAACAAAAATATAGAACACAAACTTACTGTTTTGGGTTGCAAATAATAGTTTGGAATCCACAGAGCATTGTGACATTAAGGGCATCATAAACAAAGCAAGTTTGGGCATCTTTGTTGTAGAGATTTAGAACTTCTAATAATGTTATTTGTTTGTGGGGAGGTGATTTGAAGCCAAAGTACTATATAATTACACTATTTCAGCAGGACAAATCTATAATGAGTTTGTCATGGAAGTCAAGGAAATTATTAACCCACCCACCCGCCCGCCCCCTACTCCTGCATGAGGCCAGTAGAAGCAGCTTGAACAAAATAAACTCAATATTGTCTTGAGAGAAGCAACCTCCAATTTTGAGATTAAAAGTCAGGAATTGATTAATACTGAGAAATAACCAGGCACATTACTGGAGACAGAAACCAATGTCAACAATATAAACTGCATGCCATTGCTTTGCATATTTTGCATCTAGAGTCATGTGGTCTTGACATTCTGCCTGCAGTTATCAACTATCAACCAAAAAAATGCCCATGATTAATTATTATTATCCTAATAATGCACTTCATAGATCAAGGATATCCTGCTATCACTCTCATAATAAGGAGCATGAAATTCACCACATTATGTTAAGTGATGTTCCTGGTGATTGGGTTATTCCCATGCCTGGCCATTAACTGTGTTGGGGATATATGTATACACACACACACACACACACACACACACACAAACACACACACACACCCCTAGTTAATGACCAGGCATGGGAATAACACAATCACCAGGAACATAAGTTACATAATATGGTACATTTCATGCTCTTTATTATGGTTCTACTGTGGAGAATGGAGAGTCATAGCAGGATATCCTTGATCAATGCAGTGTGTATGTGTGTGTGTGTGTGTATGTGTGTGTGATTGGTTGTACTTTAAATTACTCAATAACCACAATTCTCTGGCAGAGAATAAATCCATGAAAACACATTGTGCAAACAAACAGAGGAAACAGATACAGTCATCATGAATAATAAATATTAATAAGCATACAAAATACAAAATAAGTACAAAAATTTAAATGTGTGGGGATTAAAAAAAAAAGAAAAGAAAATGTATGCACTGATGTAGAAAATAATAACACATAGACATGCCCCAGAAGGATTGTGTCTCCTGCGGCTATATTAAGTGTGAATTTTGGAAGCTATTATTACATGTATCTGGAGGCAATAGGTTGGAGACCATGTTTATTTTTTCTGCAAAAAAAATAGTTTGGTGATGGTAAATAAACTGTTTATTTCTTCAATGGGCCAAATTTGAAAGCTATATTCATCCTGAACATTTCAACTAACGTATAATCTTCAGTATCTAGGATAAGATTTCTTAAAGAAAATTGTGCAAACTTAAGTCTCACTTTGTTGAAAGAGACTTGTTACTACCCATTAAAATATGTCTGTTCAAATAGGACTTTTTCTTCATTAATATGAAGTGAGTAAAATTTTAAAATCCCATACCCACAGTTACTTCATCATCTTTCTATAAAGATGTCTCTGAGTCTCAAGTCTTTGAGAGACTTGAGATGGAATATTTTTAGGTCATCTAAATATTTTTGCTGACTAGCACAATGAAGAGAAATATTTGACAGCATTTTCACACAGTTGCAGAGACCCATAGGGCCTTATCAATAATGATTTTATTAATATTAAAATCAATATTTTGTATATTGTAAATACAGAAGGATAAGATAGCTATGTAACCCATATACTAAGCTTCATTCATACCATATTTAAATTAATGGTCAGTAGCAAATAGGGCTTACATTAAAAAAAAACAGTGGAATATAATTC